TGAATTGTGAGAATCCAGTTGTGATTTTTTAACATATCTTAGGTATATATTAATAAGTCTAATATATAGTATACATTTTATTGGTTTATTTTGAAAAAGGTGGGCATAGAATTCTTACTATATTTATTTTAAATAGTTTGGAAATCCTGGTATTTTGAAAATACATTCTTCCTATAAAGTTGTGTGATGGGTGTTATAGCTGTTATATACACATAAATATAATTTTGTTTTCCTTTATAAGAGAGGATTCTTTTTATTCTAAGTCTTTTATCTTTAAATCTTTGTATATATTATTACATGTGGTGCTGAAGGATGACACTTTGTTTCAATGATACTTAATATATCTATTACCTTTATAGCTACATGGTAGTTCCCCTAAATTCCTGTAAAAATAAATTTTTATTTGACGTTAAGTGTATGTTTTGAAATGCAAGAATTCAGATGTGATTTTTTTTTACCTCATATTGACATGTTTGTATGTTACTTTAAAGAGGATGTGTGTTTTAAAGGACATGCACTGTGTGTTTTCAAGAAAACAGTGCAGTGCATGTCTTGGGGAAGTGTAATAAAGATGAAGTTTTTTCACCTTTACAGAGTGTGATCATATTGCTCCGGATTGCTTATTTGCTATCAAGTGACTTTTTTCCTTAATGAGGTTGTGGTGATTTGAACATATTTATTAGCTCTGGAAGATAATCCTGTATTATTTTTCATGTAGAAAAAAACATAAAGCTGGGTACAGTGCTCACACCTATAATCCCAGCACTTTAAAACTCATGGCAGGAGGATCACTTGACACCAGGAGTTTGAGACCAGCCTGGGCAACATAGCATCTACATCTATTTTTTAAAAATATTTAAAAAAATAGGCCAATCCCAAGCTAGAGGTGTTTGTTTGTTTGTTTGAGACGGAGTCTCACTCTGTCGCTCAGGCTCGAGTGCAGTAGTGCAATCTTGGCTTACTGCAACCTCCATCTCCTGTGTTCTAACCATTCTTCTGCCAAGCGTCCCAAGAAGCTGGGACTACAGGTGTGTGCCACCACGCTGAGGTAATGCTTGTATTTTTGGTAGAAACAGGGTTGCACCATATTAGCCAGGCTGATCTCAAATTCCTGACCTCAAGTGATCCACCCACCCTAGCCTTTCAAATTGCTGGGATTACAGGCATGAGCTGCCATGCCCAGACCCTAAGCTAGAGTTTTAAAGCAGGAAATGAGGGAAAGACATTGAGAGAAGAAAACCAGGTGGTAAAAGAACTCTACAGGTTTTTAATTTTTAAGAGTTTCTAAAGTGGCTCACACCTGTGATCCCAGCAGGAGTTCCAGACCAGCCTGGCCAACATGGTGAAACCCCATCTCTATTAAAAACACAAAAAATTAGCTGGGGATGGTGGTGCCCACCTGTAATCCTAGCTATTGGGGAGGCTGAGGCAGGAGAAATCACTTGATCCTGGAAATTGGAGGTAGCAGTGAGCAGAGATTGTGCCACTGCACTCCAGCCTGGGTGTCAGAGCAAGACTCTGTCTTCCAAAAAAAAAAAAAAAGAAAGAAAGTTCTGCAACATTTGAGCCATTAAACACAGGCACTGTGCCATGCAATTCTTTTTTGTTTTATTTTTTATTTTTGGAGTTGGGGTCTTGCTCTGTCACTCAGCCTGGGGTGCAGTGGTGTGGTCATAGCTCACTGTAGCCTTAAATGCTCAAGTGATCCTCTTACCTTGCCTCCCAAAGTGCTGGGATTACAAGCATGAGCCATCACAGCTGGCCTGTGTGACACAATTCTGATGTCAACTCTGATATTAATGACAAATGCCACAGGTTAAGGCCACAAGCCCCCACTAGGCTGCCCTCACTTTAGATGCAAGCTGCAAGTTTGGGTGTCCTCAGACCACATGTACTTCTCACCAACTGGCTACAAATTCAGAGGTTCCCACAGTGTCCTCAGGTTTGATAATTTCTCTATAACAACTCAAAGAACTCAGAAAAGCAATATACTTTTTGTTGAGATGAAGTCTCTGTTAAGCAAAAGTGCAATGGCACAATCTCAGCTTACTGCAACCTCTGACTCGCAGGTTCAAGCGATTCTCTTGCCTCAGTCTCCCGAGTAGCTTGGATTACAGGTGGCTGCCATCATACCTGGCTAATTTTTGTATTTTTGGTAGAGAGGGTTTCACTGTATTGGCCAGGTTGGTCTCAAACTCCCAAACACAGGTGATCTGCCTGCCTCAACTTTCCAAAGTGCTGGGATTACAGGCATGAGCTACTGTGCCCAGCCAAGCACATTTTCATTACAGTTTTATATAATAAAAACTGACAAAAGTTAACACCAGCCAAAAGCAGAGACACATAGCATAAACTCCGAGAGGGTCCTAAAGATGACATTTCTATGTCCTCAGGACACAGCATCCTCTCAGCATACTGATGTGTATCACCATCCAGGGAAGGTCACCTTGGCTTCCATGTCCAGGGGTTTTATTACATCAGGCGATTTGATGCAATCATTGGCCAGGCAGTTGAGTCCATCTCCAGCCCCCCAGTTCCTTTCTGGAAGTCGGGCTGACATCACGTGGCTCAAAGTCACGACCTTCAAATCACATGGTTGGTCTTTCCGGTATGGTTGGCCCCCTGGCCAAGTCATCTGGTTAGCATGTACTCAGGTGTGACCCTGGGGAAGCCACCATGAGTAACAGACATGCCTATCATTCAAGAAATTCCATGGATTTAGAAGCTGGCTACCTCCAGGAATCAGAGACAAGACCAGAACCAACAGGGAAAAGACCAGGGAAGTGTCAGAACAGCAAAGAAATAAATTCCTTTTTATATGTGTATATATAATGTATATAAAATATATATTTAATGAATTAATGTATTAAATATGTAGATTCATAAATAGAAATGTCATATTTTCATATAACATATATAAACATCATACATATATAGAGAAACATGTAAGTTTCTCCCTTTATTTATTTGAGTTGAGTTGGAGTCTCACTCTGTCACCCAGGCTGGAGTACAGTGGCATGATCTCAGCTCACTGCAACCTCTGCCTCTTGAGTTCAAGTGATTCTCCTGCCTCAGCCTTCTGAGTTGCTGGGATTACTTTTGTTAAATTTGGCCTAAAACTGCCTCATAAACAGTGAACTGTAGCCTAATTTAAGTGTGTAAACATTTCGCTAAAGTAATGTAAAAGTAAAATTAAAGAAAATAAGGAAAAAAGGGCATAAACCTTTGTGAAAAAGCCTTTAGGTCTTGTCAGTTCCTAGAATGTATTTATTTCACCATGCTGGGGACTCCATTTCCAGTATTTCAGAAGATGGGGCGAGCATGAAAAAGAGGGTGGGGAGGAATGGTAAAAACAACTGTGCCCAGGGCCGGGCGCGGTGGCTCACACCTATAATCCCAGCACTTTGGGAGGCCAAGGCAGGTGGATCACGAGGTCAAGAGATCGAGACCATCCTGGTCAACATGGTGAAACCCCATCTCTACTAAAAATACAAAAAAATTAGCTGGGCATGGTGGTGCGTGCCTGTAATCCCAGCTACTCAGGAGGCTGAGGCAGGAGAATTGCCTGAACCCAGGAGGCGGAGGTTGCGGTGAGCTGAGATTGCGCCATTGCACTCCAGCCGGGGTAACAAGAGAGAAACTCTGTCTCAAAAAAACAAACAAACGAACAAACAATTGTGTCCAGGCGGTGTTCCTAGGACCTGAGGGCCCCCTCTGTCTGGCAGGGGGACCCAACAGCTGTAACTGATGTGTAGCCTGAGAATGACTTACGGTCTAAGAAGAATGTGTGTTCTGAGCCCTAAGTTAAGGGATCAGGAGTGGCAAGACCTCAGAAGAATACCAACCTATGAAACCCCGAGTCAAGAGGTCTAGCTGGACACTTGGTTTCTCAGGTCACCCACTTGACCCTCTTCCAAGTTGTACTATCCTTCTTTCTTTTCCTTTCCTTCCTGTTCTAACGTTTTTTAATAAACCTTTTTTTTTTTTTTTTTTTTTCCCGAGATGGCATCTCACTCTATCACCGAGGCTGGTGTGTAGTGGCTCCATCTCGGTTCACGGCAACGGCCGCCTCTTTGGTTCAAGCAATTCTCCTCCCTCAGCCTTGGGAGTAGCTGGTCTGAGACCACTACCACACCCGGCTAATTTTTGTGTTTTTAGTAGGGATGGGATTTCTCCATGTTGACCAGGTTCGTCTCAAACTCCTGACCTCAAGTAATCTGCCCACTTGAATCTCCCAAACTGCTGGGATTACAAGGCTTGAGCCCCTGCCCTGGCTTTTTTTTTTTTTTTTTTTTTTTTTTTAATTGAGATAAGTCTCTCTCCAGGCTGGAGTGCAATGGCATGATCTCGGCTTACTGCAACCTCCACCTCCCAGGTTCAAGTGATTCTCCAGCCTCAGTCTCTCTACTAGCTGGGATTACAGGTGCACGCCACCACACCTAGCTATTTTTTTTTTTTTTTTTTTTTAAGTAGAGATCGGTTTTTGGCATGTTGGCCAGACTGGCCTCAAGTGATTCACCAACCTCTGCCTCCCAGAGTTGTTGGATTACAGGCGACAGCCACCGCGGCACCCGGCAGGCATGGAAGAGGTTCCGCTGGGGCCTGCTCAGAGGATTCGCGCTGGGGAAAGCGAGTGGAGGTGCTCCTTGAAGAAACTGGGGATTCCCAGATCTCAAGGGTTCTGTCCTGGCCTGCCGCCCTGGATCGTCCAGCCTGGGCGGGAGTGTGGAGAAGACCTCGCCCTTCTTGGCTGGGGCTGAGTGTGAGGGTCCAACTTCGCCAAAGGCCTAGCCCGGGGTTGCCAGCCCTTGGCCCCACCCAGCAGCGCCCGGCCCCGCCTCCCCTCCCAGACCTGGCACTTGCCCTCAACCAACATGGCGCTGCCGACCTCAGTACGTCAAGCGACACGCCCGCCAGCGTTCTCCAGCGTTTCCCTTATCCCCGCAGCCGGAAGCGGAGCGGCGGAGCGGGGAGCCTGGCTTCTTGCCGGCGGTCGTCTGGGCGGCGCCCGGGCAGCTGTTGTGTGGCTGCGCTGGCGCTGCAGGGCGGGATGCTGTATCCCCGGGAGAGCCGGTCGCGGGAGCGCAAGGAGCTGGACGGCTTCTGGAGCTTCCACGATAACTTCTCCCAGGATCAGTGGTAGCGGCGGCTGCTGCGGTACTCAGGAGAGGGCCGGGAGGCGCACGGAAGCCCGGCGGAGGGAGTGGGGGAGCCCGGGCCACCTCGCAGGCTCCTTACCCTGGGTGCCAGGTGGTTGGGAGCCCAGAGAAGGTTAAAGGTCAGTGGGGCTTGGGAGCGCGGGGTTGGGCGAGTGGGGCACGGAGGGGACCCAGGAGGACCGCGGGGGAGGAGGAGGAAGCGCCCCTGCCGAGCCCCCTCCCGAGGCGAAGGCTGAGCCCGGGCAGTGTCCTTTTTTTTAAATGTTTATTTTTAATTTTTAAAACATTTTTTGAGACTGGGCTTGGCTCTGTCGCCCAGGCTGGAGCACAATGGCACAATCCTAACTTCTGAGCTCAAGCGATTCTCCTGCCGCAGCCTTGCAAGTTAGCTGGGGCCTCCACGCCTGGCTAATTTTTTAAAAAAAATTCTTTTTGTTAGATATAGGGTCTCACTACTTTGCCCAGGCTGGTCTCTAACTCCTGGCCTCAAGCGATCATTTTATGTTGACCTTCCAAAACACTGATTACAGGCATGAGCCACCCAGACACTCCTCCAGCTAGTCGGGCTGGAGCCAGAGCAGCTTGCGCTGCACAGAACTGGACCCGAGGATGGGAAGGAGGGGACAGTTTAGACATCCCGAGGTCAGCTCTGCCAAGGCAGGAATGTACCTTGGTCCCAGATCTGTTTGGGGGCCTAGGAGCTGAGCTCCGCCCTTCTCTCCGCAGTCTGGCCCCACCCTGGACATGCAGGTTCTCTCCAGCTTCAAGAACATCTGCTAGGACTGGCGGCTATGGCATTTTGTCAGCTGGGTATGGTACATATAGGAAGTGACCCTGCCAGAGTGGTGGGCCCAGGACCTGTACACAAGAATGGTGCTGAGGATTGGCAGTGTCCACTCCTGTGCCATTGCGGTGAGTGCGGCCAGGAGCAGGTAGGGCAGGTGGGTGGGCGTGGCTGCTGAACAGCATGGGAGTCCCAGGTGCCACCCACAGCCTGTCTCCTGGGGATGGGACGTTGGGGGGCCCTTCCTTGCTCTGTCCTGGAGGCTGTGCCCTGTGTAGGGGGATAGGTGGCCTACTCTACCCCATTGGGATGCCGTTCTTCCCATCTGGCTGGCAGGCCTCAGCTCTATGCTGCAGGATATGAGGGAGTGCCTGATAGCAGGGCCCCTCCTCATGCACTGACCTGCCACCCCTTCCCCATATCTCCGGTGTCTGCAGTGGGTGAATGGGGTCTATACGCTAGAGCATGGGGGGTTATCTCCCCTTCAAGGCCAACATCAGCAGCCTGGTCCAGGTGGGGCCCTTGCCCTCCCACCTCCCCATCACTATTGCCATCAACAACACACTCTGTCCACCCAGCCACCACGGATTGTCCGCTACATGACCGACACCTGCAAGTGGGTACCATCCTGCCTCCACCGCACGCCCCCACCTTCCCGCCCCACCCCGTGGTCTTCCTGCTAGGGACAGGGTTGCCTTCACAGAGTGGAGGGGCCTGGATCTGGGGAGCCCACAGACATGTGAGCTGAGGTTAAACAACCCACAGGAAGGGTCCAGCAAACCACAATTCTCCCACCCTAGATATCCCAAGGGTTACTTTGTCCAGAACACAGACTTTGACTTCAGCTCGGTGGGACTACAGCAGTCTGAGCTTCTGTTCACGACACTCACCACCTGCATCAGTGACATCACCATCACCACCAGTGGGGAGCAAGACAGTGGTGAGGGCTTCCAGTAGGATCCTTTCTCAGCGGGGCCCAGGATGGCTCTGTTTGTTGGAAAGGATGCTTTGTTCGAAAGCCCTCCCAGGAAAAAGGTTCTCCTAACATCTTTAAACTCTCACAGGTTCCCATCCGCCTACCAAGCTAAAATCCAGACTGTCTGAGCAGGCACCGGCTCCCAAAATCACCTGTGTGGTTGAGCTCACTTGGAGAAGAGGGGTCTTGCCTAAGGTCACACAGTTCAGGGTGGCAATCCTGTCCCTTCCCCATGCTGTCCTCACTCCAGCTTCCCTTGGTACACATAGTGCTCAAGGAACAGGCAGCTTACCAGGTATTCCCTTTGGCCCAAGCCCCACCCAAGGCCCCTCCCTGTGGCCCCAGACTCCCACCAAATCCCTGAGCAAATAGTACAGTATTGCCAGTCTATGGTTTCATGTTGAACTAATTATCTACTCAAGTGCTGCTTAACTCTGTGCCTTTGTGACTGCCTGTCTCCATCCTTTAATGACCCCTGATGCTCACATGGCTCATGAGTGAAGGTGTCCCCAACCGAGATGCCCCCTGCCAGGGTGTGCTTCCAGGACTCAGCTCCAGAACAGGGACATTCAACCATGAGGGATAGGGTGGGACCAGGGCAGCGGCTCTCCTGGCTCCTGATATCTGCTCACCTGACCCCCAGCATTCCTGCCACCTGCTATAGGTGACTGAGAAGTGGGCCGAGGACACCTTCAGACTAAACTCCAATGATGAGGAAATCCACACAGCCAGCGAGCACTGCCTGAAGGTATGACCCCTGTGGCCCCACCGCTTTTTGGCCTCCCATCTCCACCTGGCCCTGGGCCACTTTGAGCATTAGCACCATTGTTCTGTTTACTTTGCCATTGGCAGACAGCCGTGGATACCTCAGGACACGGGCCAGTTGTGGCTCATTCCTATAATCCTAGCACCTTGGGAGGCTGAGGTGGGAGGATCACTTGAGGCCAAGAGTTCGAGAACAGTCTGGGCAACATAACAAGGTTCCATAACTACAAAAAAATTGAAAGAAAAAACAACAACAGTAACAATAGGGCTAACAGAATTGGTGAAAGATTTGGGCAAGACTCGGGGCCCTGGGGTAGAGAGGGAGGTTGGCAGTGCTGATGAATGCTGCCCTGCCTGGATTGACTCTGCAGGCATTTAGACTGTGACCCTGGGCTTCCCTTCACCTCTAAGAGCTCGGCAAAACTGCTGGGAAGCTGCACACGGGATGCAGCCAGAACGACCAGGTGCCTCTAGCTCCTCCCCGCCCTGCTCCGTGCTGTCCCAGCCTTGGGGAGTCCAGGGGGCAGTTAGAGCTCAGCAGGGTCCTGGTTCCCCAGGGAAGCAACATTTCAGCCTCCCTGAGCATCACCTCCTGCTTGCACAGGTGGTCATGGACCTTAGGCTATGGATGCGGCTCCATGCTCTCCGGCCTCCTCTGGGAGCTCATCAGGACCATGGTGGATCTGACAGAGGTGTGAGTTCCCAAGGGACACCCAGGGGTCAGAGAGAGGTGTGATGGCAGCCTGAACAGCAGACTAGGTGGTAGGGGTTAATAGGGTGGGGCTGCTAGGCCCTGGGGACAGGGGTATTGCAGAACTCTAGGATCAAGGCAGAGCAGCCAGAGTGGAACATTTCCTGTAGACCCCAATATTCCTATTCCAGTCTAGCTCAGCAGGCAGGGAGGACTCACCCTTCCTGGGGCCTGGTGTGGTGGCTCATGACTATAATCCCAGCACTTTGGGAGGCAGAGGCTGGTGGATCACCTGAGGTCAGGAGTTCTAGACCAGCCTGGCCAATATGATGAAACCCTGTCTCTACTAAAAAATACAAAAATTAGCCAGACGTGGTGGTGAGCACCTGTAATCACAGCTGCTTGGGAGGCTGAGGCAGGAGAATCCCTTGAACTTGAAAGGCAGAGATTGCAGTGAGCTTCGACTGCTTCACTGCACTTCAGCCTGGGAGACGGAGTGAGACTCCGTCTCAAAAAATAAAAAGAGAACTCACCCTTGGCAGATTTGAGGGAAGGGAAACTAAGGCACTAGGTTGGCTGTGCCTGGAGCAGCCAGAGTCTTTCCCCACCCTGCCTGTGCCCCATGTCTCCCATATTCCGTGTCCCCACCCAGCCCATCTGTTGAAAGACAAGAGTCAAAGACTACTCCTGCTGGCCTCATCCCAGGCTTTGGCTTCTGGTGTCCTTTGGGTCTGGGTTTGTTCCCTGCAGACCTGGAGGAGGAGCTGCCGAGGAGTCTCCACATGTTGTCAGAGATCCCTCCTCTTCGTCAACTCCCTGTGACCCCTGTTTCTCAGATTGGAGGGAAATAAGGGCACACAAATTGTCACCGTGGAGGTGGGGCAAGGCTGCTAGGAGGAACAGGAAGTGTCTGCTACTGAGTTCAGGGTTTCTTTAATTTACTTTTTTTTTTTTTTTTTTTTTTGAGACAGGGTCTTGCTCTTTTGCCTAGTCTGGAGTGCAGTGGTGCAATCTCACCTGCCTGCAAACTTGGCCTCCCCAGTTCAAGTGATTGTTGTGCCTCAACCTCGCAAGTAGCTGGGATTACAGGTGTGTGCCACCACATGCAGCTAATTTTTGTATTTTTTTTCAGTAGAGATTGGTTTTACCATGTTAGCCAGGCTGGTCTCTCGAACTCCTGAACTCAGGTGATATGCCTGCCTCAGCCAGCCAAAGTGCTGGGATTATTATAGGCATAAGCCACTGTGCCCAGCCTAATTCTTAAATTTTTAACTGTTTTTTTTGAGACAGAGTTTTGCTCTTGTCACCCAGGCTAAAGTGCAGTGGCACTCAGCTCAGTGCAACCTCTGCCTCCCGGATTCAAGCAGTTCTCCAGCCTCAGCCTCCACAGTAGCTGGGACTACAGGGACTACAGGTACGTGCCATGCCCAGCTAATTTTTGTATTTTTTAGTAGAGACAGGGTATTACCATGTTGGCGAAGGTGTTCTCAATCTCCTGTTCTTGTGGTCCACCCACGTTTGCCTCCCAAAGTGCAGGGATTGCAGATGTGAGCCACCATGCCCAGCAAAATTTTTTCTTTTTAAATTGTCTTTAGAGACGAGCTCTGCTCTGTCACCTAGGCTGAAGTGCAGTGGCTTGGTATAGCTCACTGCAGACTCAAACTGCTGGACTCAAAATGATCTCCCACCTCAGCTTTCTGAGTAGGTATGACCACAGGTGTTCACTACACCCTGCGAAGTTTTTACATTTTTTGTAGTAATGGGTTCTCACTATGTGGCCCAGTCTGGTTGAACTCCTGGCCTCAAGTGATCCTACCCTTTTGGCTGGGATTACAGGCTTGAGCCACCGTGCCTGGCCTTGAGTACAGAATTTCTTTAGCGGGTGACGAAAATGTTCTAAAATTGGTGATGGATGTACACTAAAGTGTAAACTTCAAATGGATAAATTGTATGTGAATGATATCTTAGCAAAATTGATTTATTTAAAACAACAACAGGCTGGGCGAAGTGGCTCATGCCTGTAATCCCAGCACTTTGGGAGGCCGAGGTGGGTGGATCATCTGAGGTCAGGAGTTCAAGACCAGCCTGGCCAATATGGTGAAACCCTGTTTCTACTAAAAATACAATAAATTAGTAACTTGAATGAGGGGCAGGGTGTCCCACCTGCTCCGAGCAGCTCTTTTGAGCCCCGACTATTTCTGAGGTCCTCAAACGAAACCTCCCAAGTCATACCCAACATGGGCCACCTCCCCTGTTCTAGCCCCTGATGGGAGATCCTGAGTGACAGAGACTCAGGCTTTGGGTGTTCCTTACCCCAGGAGCCCCATAGCTCAGGCCCAGTATGTGGTTCACACAGCCCCATTTCGTCCTCTTTTTCCCTTGAGAGCGATTTGTGCCTGGGAGATCCTGGATCCCTCATTCAGGTGCAGTGCTGTAGGGCAAACACTTCCCAGCGGTGATGCATGCCTGCAGGGTCCCAGTGTCACCAGCAGGCCTTCACCCAGCCTCCACCTGAGTCCCTGCTTCTCTCCCATAGGGAATATGACGTCCTCTTCCCAGGGTACACCCACCTGCATAGGGCCCAGTCTCTTCACTGGAGCCTCTGGATTCCGAGGTGAGGTGGGTGAGGTACAGGGGCCATGCTGGAGGGGAGGACCCTGGCTGCCCTGACCCTCCTGCCCCTGGCTTCCAACAACCGTGCCAAGGTGCTGACCCTAGACTCTGAGTGGCTGCTGGCGGTGTGGAAATGGATTGGTGTCCTGCCCCGGGGAGGTTGGTGAGGCTCCATTTCCCTAAGGGCCTGGTGGGGGAGGCTGCTGCATAGCCTTAGGGATTCAGGCATGAGCTGTGAAGGGCAGAGAGGGATAGAAAATCGATTATCTGCTCAGAGGGGGACCCTGCATGGAGCCCTAGTGATAAGGGTCCTGCACCCAAGGTGACTCGGTGCTTAGGGATAAGTGTTCTGGGAACATTAGGGGAAAAGTGTTGTGCACCCAAGATGACTGGGCCAGGGAAGAGGCTGAGCTCCAGGTGGTTGCGCTGGCAACTAGGATTTCGTTCTCTCTGTGTGTGTGTGTGAGTGTGTGTGTGTGTGTCTGTATGTATGTCTGTCAGGGCTGCCTGCCAGGAGCCCTGGTCACCATGAATCCCTGTCCCTGCAGTGGGGCCATTTCCGGCAATCTCCTGGGTGTGGACGGAGAGCTGCTTTGAGCAGGTGAGATACCCTGCCCCTCCTCCCTAGGGAGAGTCACCCTCAGCACCCACCAGGACATGCAGACACACCAGAGGGAAGGGATCTGTGGCCCCTGGTGAAACCATCATTCATTGCCTATGGGCACTGAGCTTATCCAGGCCAGAGGTCACCCATGGCAGGGGTGCCTGATACCCAGAGAGTCAGGGCTCCTACATCCCTCCTGAGACTGTGGAAAAGATGCCTCCCCCCAGCTCCCACCCCACCCACCCTGATCATCTTCCTGATCCTCTTTCCAGGGGGAGGGGGGCCAGGCAACCTGGTTAGGGGAGAGGAGGCCGCTCCCTGTTCTCCAGCCCAGCCCTGCTTCCTCCCAACCCCCAGAACTCAACTTTGGGCCCATCACTCTTAACAGCATGGATGCCACCAGTGAGCATAATTTCGTGGGTGAGTCTAGGGGAGCCAGTCCCCTGCCCTGTGCCTCACTTCTGTCCTCCAACCTGGCTTCTCTCCAGTCTTCTCCTACCCCTGTATGGTCAGACTGGTTGTGGTGATGATTGTACACTAAAGTGTAAACTTTAAATGAGTAAATTGGTCAGGGCACAGTGGCTCATGCCTGTAATCCCACCACTGGCCAACATGGTGAAACCCCATTTCTACTAAGAATGCAAAAGTTAACCGGGTGTGATGGTGGGTGCCATAGCTACTTGGGAAGCTGAGGCAGGAGAATCGCTTGAACTCAGGAGGCCAAGGCTGCAGTGAGCTGAGATCACACCAGTACACTCCAGCCTGGGCGACAAGAGTGAAACTTTATCTCCAAAAATAAAATAAAAATAAATAAATGGGTAGATTGTATATGAATGATACCTCAGTAAAGCTGGTTTATCTCATTTTTTGTTTTGTTTTGCTCTGTTGCCAGGCTTGTGCAGTGGCACGATCTCGGCTCACTGCAACCTTCACCTCCTGGGTTCAAGTGATTCTCCTGGCTCAGGGACTACAGGTGCATGCTACCACACCCGGGTAATATTTTTGTAGTTTTAGTAGAGATGGGGTTCACCATGTTGGTCAAGGTGGTCTGGATCTCCTGACCTCATGATCCACCCACCTTGGCCTCCCAAAGTGCTGGAATTACAGGAGTGAGCCACCACACCCAGCCAAAGCTGGTTTATTTAAAACAACAACAATAACAAAAAACAGGCTAGGTGCAGTGGCTCACATTTGTAATTCCAGCACTTTTGGAGGCCAAGGCAGGAAGATTGCTTGAGCCCAGGTGTTTTAGGCCAGCATGGGCAACATAGCAAGACCCCATCTTTACTCGAAATGAGTATTTAGGTCGGGCACAGTGGTTCACACCTCTAATCAGGAACTTTGGGAGGCCAAGGCAGGTGAATCACGAGCTCAAGAGAGCGAGACCACCCTGGCCAACACGGTGAAATCCCGTCTCTAATAAAAATAGAAAAATTAGCTTTCCATGGTGTCAGCTACTCAGGAGGCTGAAGCAGGAGGATTGCTAGAACCTGGGAGGTGGAGACTGTAGTTAGCTGAGATCTCACCACTGCACTCCAGCCTGGCAACAGAACAGACTCCATCTGAAAAAAAATGAAAATTTAGCCAGGTCCCCCGACCACCTCTTACTCCCTCTGCGGTCAGGCTGGGTGAGTACCGGCAAGGCTTGGTGACTGGGAACCTTTTCTTTCTTGCAGCTGAGTTCCTGTTCTGGGCTTCATTCTGTATGACCCATCTCAGCAGGATGGCCAGGGACCTCATCCTCTACGGCACCAAGGAATTCAGCTTCGTGTAGCTCTCAAATGCCTACAGGTAAGCCCTGAGCTGCCACTTCCACCTGCCCCTCCCAGACTTTGTGTTCCCCAACCCCCTTAGGCATGGCTTCCTTCCTCCCTGCCTTCTGCCAGACCTGGCCAGTGAGCTGCTGGACCAGCCAAGGGCCCAGCCCCTTCAGTGCCTGCATCTCTGTCTGCAGCTCCAGAAGCAGCCTGATGCCTCAGAAGAAAAACCCTGACAGCTTGGAGCTGATCTGGAACAAGGTGGGGTGTGTGTTTGGGCAGGTGAGCAGGGCAGGGAGAAAGGAAGGGTGGATGTGAGGTCCCCAGGGTTAGGATTCTGGGTCCAGCCCTCGTGCCTCCCTCTTATTGCAACATGCCGTGCTCCTGATGACCCTCAAGGGACTTGCCAGCACCTACAACAAAGACCTACAGGTGTGAGGCTGGAGACAGTGGCTGGGGGAGGCCTGCCTGCCTACACACCACGTGCCAATTCTCGGGGCTCTGGCACACCCAGGCAGGGGCCCCCAGGATTGCCGTACCTACTCCCATCCTGTGCACTCAGCCCCATCTGTGGCTGGTTTTAGAGCTCTCGCCCTTCCTTTGGGTACTGAGTATTCTTCCCATGGAAGGCAGTGGGGGTGCCTCCTTGTGGGGTGGGGCTGTGTGGACCCTGGGTACCAAGGGGCTGCTGGGCCCTCACCTCCTGCCATGTATCTCCCAGGAGGACAGGAAAGCTTTGTTTGAAGTGTCAGACACCATGAGTGCTGTGCTTCAGATGGCCATTGGCGTCATCTCTACACTGCAGGCCAGACCACACCCACCTGCCTCTCCTTCCCTAGGTCCCAGGCACTGGGGTGGGCTTGCCAGGAGGGTGGCCTTGGGAGGAGGGAGGAGGGGCTGGAGTACCTGGGCAGGGAAGCAGAGGTGTGCTCACTCCTGCTCCTGGGGAACAGGGAAGGGACAGAAACTCCTGCCATGCAATGGAAGTAAATGAGACTCAAGGGACCTGGGACCTGTCAACTGACCCAACCAGAATCCTTTTAAAAAAGAAAATTTATATAAAAGGTTGGCATGGTGGCTCACACCTGGAATCTCACACTTTGGGAGCCTGAGGCAGGTGGAGCACTTGAGTTCAGGATTTTGAGACCAGCCTGGCCAACGCGGTGTAATCATGTCTCTTAATAAAAATACAAAAATTAGCTGGGTGTGGTGGCCCACACCTGTAATCCCAGCTACTTAGGAGGCTCAGGTAGGAGAATTGTTTGAACCCGGGAGATGCAGTGAGCCGAGATCATGCCACTGCATTACAGCCTGGACGACAGAGTGAAACTCCCATCTTCAGATATGTAAATTAATTAATTAAATATCTTTAAAAAATTATTTTTTAGAGGCAGGGTGTCTGTTTGTCACCCAGACTGGAGTGGAGTGGTTCAGCCATAGCTTACTGCAGCCTCAAACTCCTGGGCTCAAATGTCCTCCTACTTCAATCTCCAAAGTAGCTGGGACTGCAGGTGTGCACCACCACACCTGGCTAATTTTTTGATTTTTTTGTAGAGACAGGTTCTTCCTGTGTTGCCCGGGCTGGTCTCAAACTCCTGGCCCCAAGCCATCCTTCCACTTTCATCTCCCAAAGTGCAGGAATTACAGGCGTGAGCTACTTTGCCTCACTCATTTCTTTTAAAATCAATTATTATGGGAATTTCTGTCTATAACAGCTAGAAAATGCAGAATGAACCCTATGTATTGATACCCAGCTTCAACAATAATCAGCTCATGAACATTCTGGCTCTAGCTGTCTTTACCCACAGCCCAACCCTGCTGTAATCCCAGCACTTTTGGAGGCCAAGGCGGGTAGATCACCTAAGGTCAGGAGTTTGAGGCCAACCTGACCAACATGGTAAAACCCCATCTCTACTAAAGTGCAAAAAAATTATCTGGGCCTGGTGGTGCATGCCTGTAGTCCCAGCTACTTGGGAGGCTGAGGCAGGAAAATCACTTGAACCCAGGAGGTGGAGGTTGCCTTGAGCCAAGATTACATCATTGTACTCCAGTCTGGACAATAAGAGCTAAACTCTGTCTTAATAATATTAAGGCTGGGCACAGTGTCTCATGCCTGTAATCCTAGCACTTTGGGAGGGCCAGGTCACACAGCTCATGGTAGGACCTCCAGTCATTAAATGTACCCAGCATAACAGACACTACTGAGTCGTTCACCGATGACCAGAAGTGAAATGTGGAGCCCAGACCTTCAAAAGGCTGGGATGGCACTGAAAGGAAAAAGAGGAATAGTGTATGCTATAGACTGAATGTCTCCATCAAAATTCATGTTGAATCCTAATCCCCAATGTAATGGTATCTGAGATGAGGACTCTTTGTGAGGTGATTACAGCTATCGAGGGAGGAGTCCTCATGAATCGGATTAGTGCCTGGTAAAAGAGGCCCTAGAGCAGGCGTCTCAAAGTTTTTACACAGGGGGCCAGTTCACTGTCCCTCAGACCATTGGAGGGCCGCAACGTACTGTGCTCCTCTCACTGACCACCGATGAAAGAGGTGTCCCTTCCTGAAGTGTGGCGGGGGGCCGGATAAATGGCCTCAGGGGGCCACAGTTTGGGGACGCCTGCCCTAGAGTGTTCTCTCACATCTTCTACCACCTGAGAACACAGCAAACAGGCACCATCTAGGAATCAGGGAGCAGGGCTTCCCCAAACAAACCTTTCTGAACCTTGACCTTGGGCTTTCAGCCCTCAGAATTGTGAGAAATAAATTTCTGTGGTTTATAGCCACCCAGTCTATGATACTCAGTTATATCAGCCCGGACAGACTAGGATAGTACAGTAGCTTTCAAGGGCAACAGGGTCAAGGGGAAGGAGGACTGACTTTATTTGTTAAAGATGTCAGCAACTGGCCGGGCACAGTGGCTCATGCTTATAATCCCAGCACTTTGTAAAGCCAAGGGGGCAGATCACCTGAGGTCAGGAGTTTGAGACCAGCTTGACCAAAATGGTGATAACAAAAAAATTAGCTGGTTGTGGTGGTGCACACCTGTAATCCCAGCCACTCGGGAAGCTGTCGTAGGAGAAACACTAGAACCTGGGAGGCAGAGGTTGAAGTGAGGGAGGTTGCAGTGAGGTGAGATTGCATCACTGCACTCTAGCCTGGGTGATAGTGACTCTGTCTCAAAAAAGATGTCAGCAACTTAAGTATTTTATAGGCAGGGCAGAGGGGACCAATGAAAAAGAGTAGGACATCCTGATCTGAGGGGAGGGTTTGGCTCAGGAGGGAGAAAGTACACGTCTTCCTTGGATACTGGAAGGGAATGTGTTGCTGATGAAAACTCCAAAGGAAGAAAAGGTACGTGGAGGATGCTTCATCACTGGGTTTGAGTTTTTTAATGAAATTGGTGAGGAAGACATCTGCACAGAATCTGAAAAATAATGAATGCATGATACCTTAGGGCACTAGAAAAGGCACTGCATCTGACCTTCAGGGAAGCTGATCTGAGAGGCATGTGGGACGTCTTGGTGTGGGGATCTGTGTGGAGATGCGTCTGGAGACAGTGAGTCTTACTTCCTGACTTTGTAACCATGCAGCTCAGCAGTCTCTGCGAGTCAGCTCCCTGCAATTTGCTTTCCAGGTACTGCTCTCGGGCGTTAAGACTTCCACAATGGGAAAGATAAAAGAAATACATTTTAATTTGTAAGAAAATGAAGTATTCAAAAATAAAATCACCTGCTCTATCCAGGGTATCATTTGCTTTCCAGCCTGTCTTAGCAGTTACAGAGGATAACTGCTAAGCACACTTGACTCATTCATTTGAAGATTTCATGTAAGCACAATTGACAACCCATCTTAAAAAAAATCTTGAGATAAAAGTATTTAATTTCTTGACTAAATTCAGCTTTCAGAAGGCATCAGTGATTCTGTTGATGGCGATTGAGAAGGTTAATATGTAGATGTTTTCTTGGCATGTGAGAGACAGGTGTGTGTTGGTGGGAGCAGCATGTGTATGTGGAAGGAGAGCTGGAGTCCCAGGCCACCACACTGCTTGGGCTGGTAACAATACAATGTGTTGATAACTGCCATCTGTGCTTCTATCAAATTAAACCTGAAGTGTCTTTCTCTTTTCATTTGAAATAACTTTGCTCTTTCTTTGCTTATGCCATTTAAAGTGAGATTTGTACCAAAGTGTTAAAATGCATTTAGTGTAATCCTTACTAACATGAATATATACATTACAGTCCTTCATTTAATCATATCTTTAAGTCTTTTTAGTAACAGTATACTCTTGCACTGGAAATCTTTCAGCTGACTCTTCAATCTTTATCAAGTTTTCAGTTCATTAGTCTGTTTAATCTCTTATGCCACGTTTACACTTTTTATGCATTTAGACTATCAGTTAATAACCATTGAGAAATATAATTATTATAATTGTTACATTGAATTCAGAAGAGTGACACATATTTAATATTACATTCTATAAAAAATCCTAAGCTTAATTTCAGGAAGGATTGGGTTTTATTCTTATAAGTGTGTACAATTAGTCAAAACACCCCCCACCCCAATCCCTTATCAAAATCAATGTTCGTAAACCGACAGGTGAGTTTTTTGTGTGCCCAGCAGATGCTTATATGACCATGGGCAGAAATGATCACAGGAATAACTCACCCATCCAGCTGAACTGTGGAGATGTTTTAAATGTTTGGTAGAGATCCTGCTATTCATGTAGCTGTGGAGTGACTTGGCTAACTGACATCTTTTCTTTAGGAATCATGGAGCACGCAACACATCCCGGTGCTGTTCTCAGCTTTCTGTGGCCTCTTGGTCACCCTTTCCTACCATCTGAGCTGGCAGAGCAGTGACCCATCTGTGTTCATATGAGTGATCTATGGCTTTGCTCTGTCATCACTGAGCAGGGGGCATGGTTCCCTCAGCTTTGTGCCCTGACTGAGGTGAGGAGATGGCAAATCACTGCCCATTGTGATTTGACTCTCATTATTAAACTACCTGGTCGTTCACCAGAGGAGGGCAGGAGAAATACAGGACCAGCCAGAAACTAATAACAGTTAACAGTGAACATCTGGCAAATATTTTAGCTTTGCTGATTTGATTTTGGAGTAAAATGAACAGTGGCAGGAACAGACAACCAATAGCACCCAATCCCTGTTGTGGCTTTCCGCTGGGTGAGAAGGTACCACCTCAACGGTACCCTCTCTAGATCCATTAAGCTGCATGCCTGCATTTACTCTAGGCAGTTGCCTGTGGAGACTAAACCAGCACCTCTGAAAGGAGGTGTTTTGTTGTGATGGTGGTTCTCAATTTAGCAAACACCCTCTGGATTTAAAGTGAGATTTGCACCAAAGTGTTAAAATGTATTTAATGTGATCCTTACTAATGTGAATGTATACATTACAATCTTCCCTTTAATCGTATCTTTAAGTCTTTGGTAACGTGTACTCTGGCACTGGAAATCTTTCAAGTGATGCCAGAGTGAGTTTCAGATACTGACAGTAGCATCTTATGTAATGTTTTTAAATTTATGAAAGATTTTGATTTAAGATAACCATATTTTGGAGGACCAGAGACACCATAATCTTAGGCTATTAGGTGCGGCAGTATCAAAGGCATGAAAAATGGAAAAAAGAAAAGTTAAATGGTTCTCACAGTTTTTAGTGTCAATTGTATTACTGCAGTGTTCACTTTCTGCTGCTAATTTTTTGTGAAGATGAAGCCCTAGTAGGCTGGCAGAGTTGGAGGACCGTTCCCTTGTCCCACTGCTGACAGTAGAGGGTGATGCTGCTGATGCTGCTAAGGTACTTGACTACTCTCATTAGGGTGAAATTTACAAATCAAAACCCTATCTTTATGATCACTTGAACGTGCACCTCTTTTTATTATAAATTTTTAAATGAAGAGAGCACTTGCTTTTGTCATGTGTGGGCATGAGATCTAAGGTGAAGTTATTTACCAAAAGCACTGTCCCAGGAATGTCTTTGATAAAGTAAAACCTATGTGTTTTTCCAGTTTCAGGTCCTTCATCCAATGCAGACTGTTTCCTAAATTTTTACATCAAAATCTGGAAGAGTCAGCTGCTGACCCTCTCCCCAGGAAGATGAAAGATTTGGTGGTGAGACATTTGCATTGTGTCATGTAGTATAGGAGGACCTCATCTTTTCAGGAGAGCTCAGGCTCTCAATGGGGCTCTAGGCAGGTGGACATAAGAAGGACTAGGACGGAAAGAGACACCTCAGCTTGGTACCTGGCACACTGGGCTGTTGAGCTGCCTGCCAGGTGCAGCCCTTTAGAGCATCTTGATGGTGGCTGTTATGCACACCTGGCATGGGTGCTTGGGTGTCCCTTAGTTGGCTGCATTTTGCCAGGATAGTCACATGAGTCACATTCAGTCAGTTTTGCCTATTGCTGGCACCAAACAGCAGATGGGCTCTGCACAAATGAAAGCTTGTCAGATAAATGTTTAGCCAACCCGCCTTCCTGATATGGTCCACATGCAACTCATCTCCATAGCTTCTCCCCTCAGCACCACACTGAGTTCAGAGCACTCTTTCAAAGTTGCTGTCTGCACAGCCATTGCTTGGGCTTTAGACTTAGGGCTGGGTCACAGAGAAGCGAGTAACCATACTGTGGGGAGCACGGGAGAAGAAAAGGAAGGAGGAGAGGGAGACAGAAGAGAATCCTACAGCTATAAAATGATAACACTTCCTTGTTCACCAGGAAAATGGCTCTGGACAGCTTCAAACTTTTTTTTTTTTTTTTTTTTTTTTGAGACAGTGTCTTGCTCTGTTGCCAGGTGCCAGGTAGAGTGCAGTGGTGCAATCTCGGCTCACTGCAGCCTCCGCCTCCCGGGTTCAAGCAATTCTGCCTCAGCCTCCTGGGTAGCTGGGACCACAGGTGCACACCAACACACCCAGCTAATTTTTTTGTATTTTTACTAGAGACAGGGTTTCATCATGTTGGCCAGGATGGTCTCAATCTCTTTACCTCGTGATCTGGCCACCTCAGCCTCCCAAAGTGCTGGGATTACAGGCTTGAGCCACTGCACCCGGCCCAAACATTCTTTTAGCAAATGTAGTTTCTTTGGTATCAACTTACAAATATTCATATGTCGAAAAACAATGCTCATTAATTGTGTAAGCTCCCATACAGCTGAGTATTGAGCTTGGAGCTGTCTGATGTCCTTGACTCACACTTTTCCTTGGTTTCTTAGGAATGACAGATAAAAGGAAAAGGGAATAATCTGTTGATTCAACCAGGACTGCATCTCATTTGTCTTGATATACATAGAGCCAGTGCATGGTGTTCTAGTGGGTGCTCAGTACAGTTCATGGAATTTAGACGAGTTTAATTGCAGTCTGCCATTTCAAGGCAATGTAGGGGACTCACAGCCAAAATGATAGCCTTTAAAAAAATTCATACTCAGCTTTTGTTCCTTTAAGTGTGGTCACAGTTTAAGCCAGTACATTAATGCTTTTTCTCCACCCTAAGGGAATCAAAGGACAAATCACTAAATATCAGTAAGGGCATAGTTTATGAATTTTAAGAGCAGAAATACATTTAAAAGCAAGTTAAAAGTCAAAGCAGCTGGGCCTGATGAGATGGCAGCTAAAAAAAAAGAAATATTTGACATAAGCTAGCATCCTCAACCTGACCAGTAATACTTATACCCGGAGACTAACAGGGAGAAGGTCAAACTAACATTCCCACAATACTTTCTTTTTTTGAGATGGAGTTTCTCTCTTGTTACCCAGGCTGGAGTGCAATGGCGCGATCTTGGCTCACCGCAACCTTCGCCTCCTGGGTTCAGGCAATTCTCCTGCCTCAGCCTCCTGAGTAGCTGGGATTACAGGCATGCACCACCATGCCCAGCTAATTTTTTTTTGTATTTTTAGTAGAGACGGGGTTTCACCATGTTGACCAGGATGGTCTCGATCTCTTGACCTTGCGATCCACCCGCCTCAGCCTCCCAAAGTGCTGGGATTACAGGCGTGAGCCACCGCGCCTGGCTCCCACAGTACTTCCTGTAAAAGCTGTAGGGTGGTCCATAGTCTACCCAAAAGTCTCCCAATGGATGTCTGGAAAACTATGCCCTTCAGTTGTCCTTGATTTCATGACTAATGAAGATGCGTCTCTACTTTCTGATTTATTGTAGCTAAAAGTAATGTACGAATTACAAAGAAATTTGCCCAACAGAGGTCGATGCTATTTCATTGGTGTAATTAGATGTGATGGGTTAGGTTTTTGCCTCCCTTGGTTTTCATACCCTTTGAAATGCTTTGTACAGTGTGGAGCGCTAAATCACCTAACATAACTTGTTAGGTGATTTAATAAGATATTTGTGTTCATTTCTCTGAAAAGTCTCTGGGCTAATTATAATATTTTCATAGCTGTATCACATTCAGCTTTTAGAGCTTGATACATGATACCTTCTGCAACACAAGGCAAGCATAACACCCCGCTCCTCATTGTCTCTGATTTTGTTTCTCTATATCTCTTTCCACCTCATATTTTCTGTCTTTCTCTTTTCTCAAATTTTAGTTTGTATCAGAAGCCCTTAGGGAGCCTCATTAAATGCCAGTTCTCTAGCCCTCCCTCTCCCATTCTGATTCATTTGGCCTGTCAGAGGGTCTGAGGATGTTTATTTTAACAAGAATGTTCACCCAGGTGATTCTGTTTAGGTGATCCACATATTGTACTTCAAGAAGCATTGATCTAGAAACAGAGATATACCAGTGGGCCTATACATTTGCCTATAAGCAAGATAAGTTATGCATACAAAGTTTATCACCCAAATCCATTACTGAATGAAAGATATAAACTTTCAACTGGTCGTTTCCCTGGTTAGTCTTTTTCTATATGTCTTATTATTACAGACGGTAAGTTTTTGTTTGTTTTCTGTTTTTTATTTTTATTTTTTGAGACAGAGTCCCACTCTGTTGCCAGGCTGGAGTGCAGTGGTGTGATGTCTGCTCACTGCAACCTCTGCCTCCTGGGTTCAAGTGATTCTCCTGCTTCAGCCTCCCAGGTGGCTAGGATCATAGGCACGTGCCACCATACACAGCTAATTTTTGCATTTTTAGTAGAGATGGGTTTCACTAAGTTGTCCAGGATGGTCTGAATCTCTTGACCTCGTGATCTGCCTACCTCAGCCTCTCAAAGTGCTGGTATTACAGGGGTGAGCCACCACTCGCAGCCCAGACTGCAAGTTCTTAACTTTCTTTGTTTTTTTTTTTTTTGAGACAGAGTTTCGCTCGTTACCCAGGCTGGAGTGCAATGGCGCGATCTCGGCTCACCGCAACCTCTGCCTTCTGGGTTCAGGCAATTCTCCTGCCTCAGCCTCCTGAGTAGCTGGGATTACAGGCACGCGCCACCATGTCCAGCTAATTTTTTGTATTTTTAGTAGAGACGGGGTTTCACCATGTTGACCAGGATGGTCTCCATCTCTTGACCTCATGATCCACCCGCCTCGGCCTCCCAAAATGCTGGGATTACAGGCTTGAGCCACCGCACCCGGCAAGTTCTTAACTTTCACATCTTAATCATTTTCAACTGGAAACACCTGATGGCAGAAATAAACATGAATTCTCTCTAGAAGATTCCCTTATCCAAGTGTTTCCCAAACCAACTTTTTTAGGGAAATGCAGAGCTTACTATAAAAAATTCTTGAACCTACACATGGAAATAAGGAACCAGGAGAAACAAGTCTGTAACTACTTCAGATGTTGGAGGTATCAGACACAGATTTTAAAACAACTATACTTACTCTTAAGTAAAAGACAAATTTTAAAATTTATAGACCATAGAAAATATTTAAAACAATCCAGCAGGTTTGAAAGCCAAATAGAATTTTCAAAACAAGCAAACAAGTGAATCAATTGAAATATACACCACCACACCACCCCACACATAGGAGGTTAGATACATCTGAAGAGAGAATTAGTGAACTGAAAAATAGAGAAGAAAATATTCAGAACATAACACCAATTGGCAAAAAAAAAAAAAGTATGAAAGAGAAATTGATAGATTGAGAAGATTTAAAATATATCTAATCTGAATCCCTAGAAAACGAGAGACTGAAGCATAATCAATATTTGGTGAGATAGTATCTCAAAGTTTACCAGAATTGATGAAAGACACTTATCTTGAGATTCAGGAATTTCAGTGAATCACAAGTAGGGTAAATTAAAGAAGGAAGAATCCACACCAGCCAAGCCATAGAAACTGCAGTATGCCAAGCACACAGACCAACTTAAAGCAAGTAAACAGAATGAACAGATTACATTCAGATGAATGACAGACTGCAAGCTCCCTTATCAGGAGCCGTCATGGAAGCCAGAAGACAGTTCTTTGATACACTTAATGATGTGTAAAGAAAGTAACTACCAAGCTAGAAGTTTACTCCTACTGAAAGTATCTTTTAAGGATAAAGGCAAAATAAATTTTAGAAAAATAAAAGCTCAGAGACCCTCATTACATGTAATCTGAAGGTATTTTTCAGTAGAAAGTGATCTTGTACAAGTAATTTGAGGAGAAAAGACAAAAATGAAAAAAATGATCTTGGATGGAAGGTCTGATTTGCAAGTGAACAAAAAGAAAAGGTGGCAGGTACATTGGCAAATCTGAATAAATATTAGCTGCATTAAACCATGATAAGTCTATATAGTTGGCTTTAAAATATAAAGTAGATTAGCCGGGCATGATGGCACGCACCTGTGGTCCCAGCTACTTGGGAGGCTGAGGCAGAAGAATCGCTTGAACCCAGGTGGCGGAGGTTGCGGTGAGCTGAGTTTGCACCACTGCACTCCAGCCTGGTGACAGAGCAAGACTCTGTCTCAACAATATGTGTGTGTGTGTGTGTGTGTGTGTGCTCTCATATATATATATGTGTGTGTGTGTGTGTGTGTGTGTGTATAAAGTAGAATTAAAATACATGACTATAATAACATACAAGTTTCGACAAGAGGAGAAATGAACTTCAAGTCGTCAGAGGTCTTAGCAATGTCCAAGAGAAGAATAAAGGTAAAGATTGAATGTCCCTAATCCAAAAATTCAAAACCTGAAATGCTTCAAAATCCAAAACATTTTGAGCACCAATGTGACATGCAAAGGGAGTATTTCGGATTTCTGATTTTCGGATGAGGGCTGCTCAGCCTGTACCATTAACTTCAGTTTGTGATAAATTAGGTACGCATGTTGGGATGTTTTGTGCAACTACTAAAGGAATAGAAACAAAGCATGTAGGTTCCAATTCCAAACAGAAGGAAAAAATGGAAAACTAAAAAATAGAAGTTATTCATAAATAACAAAATGAAATTGGACTACTATGTCATACTATACTTAAAAGCCATTCCAGGTAAATTATAAGCCTCAATATGAGAAAATAAAACCTGAAAGCACTTAGAGTCACAATAATTGAAACTTTCATGATATCAGTATAGAAAGTGATTTCTTAAAACACAAAGTTCAAATTTATTAAAATTATGACGATTTATTATTTTAAATTAGAAAAGCAACTAGTGTCTCCATGAATATTAAATTCCTCTAAGTCTATGAGAAAATCGTATCTCTCCATTGAAAATAGGCAGAAGAACTATGCATACACTTCACAAATGAGGAAATATAAATGGCCAAAAAACGTGAATATATGGTCAATTTCATTAATGATTAGAAAACTCCAAGTTGAAATCACACTGACTTACTATTTCAAAACTACCATACCAAGAAAAGTAAAGTTCTCACAATATTAAGTGGTGAGAAG